AAAAGATAAATCATGATTTTTGCTTTATTTTTGAAGAAAGGAATTTACTTCAAATTGAACTTGAACACTCAAAAATTGATCATGAAATTTTGATATTGGAATTGGAAAAAGCCATTGATGAAAATGCTGCTCTTAAGAATGCAAAAAATGAAACATCCCGAAGAAACACATATTTCAAGAAAAGCCTTGCTAATGTTTCTCCTAGGTGTTATATTTATAATAAACTTGGTCACCTGTCTTATGACTGCTATAAAAACAGAAGCATGCAAAAAATAAAAAGGATTTAGGTTCCAAAAGGATCCTATGTTGCAGCTAACCTTCAAGGACCCATCAAGGTATGGGTACCTGTTAAGAAAAATTAAAAATCGATCTTGCAGGTTGAGCTTAACCGAAACAACATATGTTCAAGAGCTCAACTAAAGGAGAAGCAACCATGGTACATGGATAGTGGCTGCTCGAGACACATGACTGAAAATGAAATATTATTTGCTCAGCTGGACAAGAAAAAGGGAGGTACTGTATCATTTGAAGATGACTCAAAAGGTACAATTCATGGTATAGGAACTATTGGCAAGAATTCTCAAACTCAAATTAGTCATGCGTTACTTGTCAATGGTTTAAAGCACAATTTATTAAGTATCAGTCAATTGTGTGATAAAAGCTTTAAAGTATGTTAAAAATAAAATCTCATTCATAGGAAAAAGAATTAAAAATATGTATGTTATATTTCTAAAAGATCTTGAGATTAATTGTGAAACATGTCTTATGGCAAATGATGAAAATGATAGTTGGTTATGGCATAGGAGACTTGGACATGTGAGCATGCATACTATCTCAAAATTGATAAGAAAAAATCTAGTTATAGGACTACCTAATCTTAAATATGAAAATGATCAGATTTGTGATGCATGTCAACTAAGTAAACAAGTTAGAACATCTTTTAAAACCAATAAGATTACTTCAACTTCTAGACCTTTTGAGTTGCTACATATCAATTTGTTTGGTCCAATTAATACAACTAGCCTACAAGGCAAATCATATAGCTTTGTGATAGTTGATGACTACTCTAGGTACACTTGGGT